AAGTAACTCTTCAGTTTTAGGATAGGAATGGTGCGATACTGAAACACAGATTAGGATAAGTGGTCAGGATAATTCCAGGGTGGGGCTTTTTCAATTCTATTACATTTTTGTGATGACACACATATATAAGTTCATACTGTACTGTTAATATACCTAGAATTAAAAGAGAACAAAAGAAAACCACCACCAAAAAAAAAGAAAAAAAGAAAAAGAAAAAAAGAAAAAGAAAAAGAAAAAAAGAAAAGCACTTGAAAACATGTCAAGAAAAATATCCCAGACCAAAGGATAATTTCCAGCTAAAGGGAAATTGAGCAACTGCACTTGACAAATACCAGCATTATATCTACAACAAACAACCACAGAAAACAAAGTATTTTTCGTATGGATGCAAAATCCTTTTTTTTTTCTTCTTTAAATCTCATTATTTTTGTGAGAAGTAGTCTATATAGCAAAATTGCCAAGCCCCCACTAACACCCTTGTGGCAAGAATTTAACCACAGATTAGAGACAATATCCATTAATCTGTGGAATTCACATTCTCAAGGAGGAATGACCAGCTCAAATGACCCATGCAATCTGCTTTCCACTGATCACCAAAAACCTCTTTGGATGTGCAGTCAGCTCCAGAACCCAGTTTCAGAAGGAAAACAGTTTCCAACATGCTCTTACACTGCTCTGAAGCGCAAATCAAAGACTAAAAAGGATTATTTTGCTCTTACCAACCTCTTTTTCAAGACCAGGTTCTGCAAAAATCAGTGAAAATCCACAGAAGTCATCGGATTTGCCACACCAGGGACTGCATCCAGAGAGACACACACGTGTTACAGGGAGCACACAGCAGGCCAAGGACACAACACAAAAGCATCACCCAGTGTGCAGGGTGGGAGTGCCACTCTGCACACATCTGACATTCTGCAAGGGTTTTGTGTTTCACAGTGGAACATGTGAGTGGTTGTGTTTTTATGGAGCTGACAGGCAGATCCAGAGCACTCACACACAGCAGCATCTGCCAGCTACGTGAAAAATGTACTTCCAAACCTTCCCTGAGGTTTACAAATAGGAAAGTATAGTAACAGATGTTAGAGATGGCTCACAGCCTCCAAAAACTTCCCCTAAATAATATCAGGCCTCTACGAGGAACAGTTGAGGTACAGCCTTGATAGAATTTAGATGAAAGAAAGAGTTTTTTCTTCTCAAATTCAATGTTTTACATTTGACAGGAATTTAAATACTGTATTTGAAATTAAAACGAAACAAAAAAAACCCACCACCATTCCCAGTGTTTGTCTGCTTTTAAATGCAAATTTCCTGTCAAATGCACCACCTGCAACTAACAGACAATTTGGCTTCAGTAAACCAGACACTAGAGAAACTTTTCTACTATGCCCAAAACTGTGTTTTGACTTTGTCCTGAACAAAAACTATGTATAATCACCCCATTTCCTGACACTTCTTATTTTAATAAGGAGAACACAAACATTAACTTTCTGTTCCATCCTACACTGCAGTTCAGCTCATTACTTTGGAACAGTCATAAGAAACAAAGCAATGATTTTGCTATTTCACAGTTCTACACCACACTGAAAAGCTAGAAAAACCACTGGCTTCTTGCTATTATAAAGCAGTAATACTCTCATATTCACATTAAAACCAAAAAGAAACTAATTAAAAAACAAAGACAATAAAAACCAAGCAAGACAAAAAATCCTGGTAACATTTCATTTTCAACAAGTATATTTTATATCTAGGCTTAAATTGAAATGCAGGTTAATCTCAAAAAAAAAAGATTAAGAAAAAAATAAAATACTTCATACTTAGTTGAACTGAGGCCCTCAATGGTTGACATCATTTCATCATAAATGTCTTCCTCCATCCTTCCCTTCTGAGATGAATTTCTGAGAACAAAATAAAGTCTGTGTCATCAATGCTGTTCAGAAACAACTCGCAGCTGCAGAGCAAACTTTCTCAATACACCAGTGGGGTAAGCTTCCTGGGAAAAATTAAATAAGAATGTTCCAAATTGACAAGCAAATACATCCATGGGCACTTTACTAGGCATTTCTCCAATTGCTCAAAACGTGCATTTTTCAATACAATGTTTTGATAAACTGAGAGAATGATTCACAAGTGAAAATCAGCTCCTTACTTAGCGCTACGGGCACCATTGCAAGCATTTATACATATAGTGTCGATTCTTTATTACACTATAATGGTGTACATAAATAATACTAAGCAAAACCATATCTTGAAAAATATAATATATATTTACTTGTAGTATTTGTATATTTACTGATAATACTATGTTAAGCTGTGTTTATTTTGTGCTATAATATTACAAACAAATCTGGCATCTGTGAGTAATTAAAAGCTGAGGTAGCACAAGCAGGGACAATATACTCATGTATACACTACATGAGCTGGTTTAGTTTGTTTTCCACTGCTCCTTAGGGCTCTCCCTTCCCAACTCCCTCCCATCCTGCTGCAGCCCATGGAGCAAAATGGAACCTCAGTGACTGAGGGGCCGGTGAGATGAGGAGGGGGGAAGCTCCTTTTACAATCTGCTAACAACAACAACCATGAATTAAGAGAACTTTTAAAGGCCAAAGATTGAGCTTAACCTTTCTAAGGCAGAAATACCACACATACAGTGATTAATCAACCAAAAGATTACGTGCTTGCAGCACACCAAACCGCAGGAGGAGCACAGGAGCACGTATTTAAAAAACAAAGAAGGTTCTTGACAAACCTCTCAGTTGTTCTCTGGCGCCCAGTGGAACACAAAGGTATTTCCTAAATAAATTAAGGAAAATAAGGTTTACTATGATTGTAGCATGCTAGAGATTGGCAGAGTCTGAATATTGTTACGTTCTGACAGAAAGAGATCATGCCCGGATACCTTCTCAGTTCTGTGTACACATTTAACACCAAGAGTAACAGTAGACATTCAGCCACAAAAATCATGTCAGATTCTGAGTTTCACACCACAGACAGCAGGAGTAGTTTGCAATTGTAGGCTGACAATCGCTGCTTGAGGTCTCACCTTTCTTTGCCTTCCCTGAGAACTTGAAGAGTCACTGCTCACACTCTCCCTGTGGTTCAGGTGGGCAAAGGGCCTGGCTGCTCCCCAGGACTCCAAATACCGTGTCATCCGCACAGATGCTCTCATCTTCAGCCCGTCGTTAACTCTTGTTTTAGGGAGGTGATTATTTGATATACATTGCTTCGACTAACAGGGAAAACGAAAACACACTCATTTAGAAAACAGAGTAGTTTAAGACTATACAATTTCACTCTTTAGTAGGACTCTAAACACATCAGCAATGTGTCAGCCAACCTCAATTCCTTTATCTCATTTAATTAATGTGAGCTAAACCAAATCACAGTGCACACGATGAGTTTGCTTCAGCTGCCTTTACAAGCCCTTACTTGCAACACTGCAGCAGTCAAACTTCCAGGTTTATTGAGGATGATGCAAGAGATCGCAGGATCTTGTGGACAGATAAAGTTTCCTTGCAGTCAGCACAACACCAGGGGAAAAAGAATCCAGATTCCTCAGCAAGGGTGTATCAAAACAGTAGTTAGGAGAAGATCCCACAAATTACAGACTCCACATTAGATTATATCCCTATGACACGGGTGCTGAGTCAGGCAGTACAGACGGGATATACAGCAATACCCTCACAGGGCTACAGAGAAGCTGAAACTACAGAATAAACTGATACATCGGTGACTGTTTATTCTCTAACATTTCACAAGCATCTTCAAGTGGGCAGAGACCATTTTAACAGACTTAGAACCCCATTCTGAGAGTATGTGCTGTGCACATGAAGGGGGGGTTGGACTGCTGAAAAATGCAATTCTTTCTAATTTAAGGTGGCTCTATACTGGAAGAAGTTTGTCATTTGCATTCTTTTTTCATTTGAAACACTTTACTCATCAACCACAAGCTGATTCAAAATAGCAATACTCCAGGTGTTTGCAGTTACCAGGCTCGAAAGGAGCAACCAACAGTTGCTAACTTCATACCCTGAAAAGAAGGTGAACTTAATTTAAAAGTTAGGGAGGAAGATATAAGAAGCCATTTTACAGGGAATATTTTATCTGAAATTGGCCACACAGTACAGGTATTCTTTCATTACTTCATCCCACCTTTGACCTGGATTTGTGAGAGACACACTTCAGGCAAATACATAGCCAAATATGTGTTTTTATTCGAAATTGACCATATAAGGGGTTTCAGCATAACACTTAATACCTTCAAGCTAACAGACATGTCATAAAACAGCAAGACATGCTTTCAGATCTGAACTGCCAAATCCAGTCTACTCAGGTGACTCACAGGATGTTTTAATTCTGTTCCCAAATGAAAAAGTTGCATGCACCACAGAAACCTATGTATTTTAAATACATGTATATATTTGAATAAATATATATGTTTAAAAACATACACATACCCTTGGATCAACTACTAAGTAAGTTTTGATATTCATGGATTCAAGGTAAGGATCCCTCAGGTGTCCATTCCCTTCTTCTACTTCATAAGCTTTGCCTAGGTGATTTAACGTTGCTTCAGTGATGTGCACACGGCTGAGAAGGAGAGAAAGAACAAGAGACCCAAACACTCACAGAAAGGTCACATTAAGCATTTCATTTACATTTCAATGGCCACTGCTGACATTTCTGCTTTTCAGCCATCTCCTGCTTTGGCAGCCCACTGCAAAATCCTGCCAGTACTTAAAATTCTATTTGCAGTCCTTTACTGCAGTTCTTCATGGCACATCTTTCATAGCAAACATGCTGAAAAATGCTTCCCATAATGAGACAGTATCAGTATAAAATTAAAATGAAATAAGCAGAGACATACAAGAAAGAAGAAGAAATGTGATCAAAGGAGATCTGATGACTGACAAGACAGACAGACTCACAGGCAGCTTGTTTCAGATAGTGAGCGCTGCAGGGGAAACTCATGAACAAAACACAAGCGAGAACTGTCTTGTGCTAGAAATGCACGAGAAGGGGAGGAGACAGTTGCTAAGTCTGTGGGGGAAAAAAAAGCTGGAAAACGTTTTTTGTTAACTAGGAGGAGAATTCTGGAAGTCTGTCTTTTCTGACTGAAACAATCTGAGGAGAGCATAACACAGCAACACCACCAACACGCTTCTAAGGGGAGCAGCTAAATATTGTTCTGTACCCATTCACACTTTCCCTTAAATATTATTTCCTTCAGTATCCCACATCATGCCTTTTCACATAAATTATGAGTAACATCTTTCCACATAATTTTTCATCAAGAGACTTGCGTGTGTTCATAAAATATAATTTCTTATGTTCTGCTTTCTCATTGTTTATCTTCTCATGCTTTTCTCACTTTTCTTTGGCCGAATCCATTAGCTCAGGGCTGGAAATACAACATTTCCAGAATGGAAGCTGACAATGTGCAGCACTCCTACCTAACTACAGAGAGTAAGGGAATCACCATGCCATCCACATTTACTTCTTAATACTGTAGGTAGGTTTGCACGATTATTTATCCAAGACCTGAAGATTACTGGCAGTGGCTTCTAACAAGGAAGAAAAAAAAAAATTCTTCAATACTCTTCAAGCCAAAAGGTAAGAGTTTTGGAATACAGACGATGGATGCTTTTATTTGTTTACTGATAATCATCTCTCAAAAAAAAAAATTGTTAGCTTGACTACACAGTTTTGCAGTCAAGGTGAACATTGAAATCTGAAATTTTACTGTTTAAAGCATAATTTTCTTCCACAGAGACTGGGGTATTCTGGGTGATGTCTGTATTACCTGTGCCTTAAAACACAGCCAGGCACTGCAGCAAGTTTTCTGTGCTTTTCCACTCATCTCAAAAGGCAGTACCTTTGCTCACTCCCCACCTTCTCCATTTTACCAAGTTTCCTGTCCCCTCTTCCTCGAATCACACACTGTCGTAGGACATTTCCGATCTTGCTGCAAACTTCATTCCCAATTATATGCCAGTGATTTCTCAGCAGTTACTGATTGCTTACTGGATTCCAGGATGAGCACATAACCAAAAGCTGCTCTCACTACAGCTGCCTCCCATAGGCAAGCTGTGACATGCACTGCTGCACTCGCCATGCTGGGACACAACGCCCAGCACACTGCACCCAGTTTCCTATGCTGACAGGCCTGAGAATAACATACCCTGACCTTTCAGGCACATATATAATAGAGAGAATTGGTCATAAATGAATTTTTAGTTTTGGTTTGATGTTGCTCCTTTCTGCTTTAGTAGTGCATTATATTGTTATGAACGCAAATAATTTTTAAAATCAGAAATAGGGTGAACAAGGATACTCTGCCACTGGAAAGAAAATATTTAAAAAGCTAGAAGTTTTCCTATATCCTTTCAAAAGCCTTTAGAATTCCTTCATCTACAGGAACTCAGAATACATATACTTCCTATTTTAAATAAAAGCTCCAACTGGCTCCTAATGACAAAACTTCTGCTTCCAAAGGAGCAGGACTACTTAACATTGGAATAGAGAATCCCTGAGATATCATTTCTCTGCAAAGCAGGAAACAAAGAACATTTGCATTGTGAATAAAAAGCCTTACTCCCTGTCAGGCTCAGTCTTCCCAAAGCAGAAGGTGTTTCCTCTGGCAAGTTTTGAAACACAAGATAAGCGAGTGCTAGACAAGGATATAGAAAGCATTAAGTGTAATATTTCTGAATCAGCATGACAACCTAAACCAGCTTAATTCTTTACCAGCTTATCAAATACAAATATGAAGACCATAAGGAAATAATGCAGGTTGTTAAGACTAGGCAGTGGTCCTAAACTGGATTAAGAAATTATGTTTTCATGCCAGTCATGTTGTTTGCTTTACCAACAGAAGAAACTTTACAACTCTGTATTCTTCCTTAATCAACACACTAAAAGTCTCAACCCTACTGGTATTGCAATTGTTAACCAAGCTCCAACTAGTTTTCTTTCTGTTTCAGTCATCAATGTAAGAAAATAATTTGATATTCATATCCCCTTATCACTTGACAGGAATTAATTTTTAGGCTACAAGCATATACCTAAAAGCTGTCTGAGGTGCAGAAAAAATAAGCAATCTTGTAATGTCACTGCGTAGAATCTCTTTCCAAAAGAAACCTAGAATACTTTAGTGCTTAAACATATATCCACATGAATACCATTCACATAAAAATTACTAATTTGCATAGACTACCAAGAAACTAGAAAAATTAGGGTCTCATTTAGGAATGGAAAAAGGAAAAGTCTTATAATGGTCTTTTTATTCTAATCCCTACACTCAATTTAGAAAACAGAAAAAAAGCATACTTTCCTAAATGAGGAAAATTCAAGAGGCTATTGCTTTTTAAAAACAATTGTATTTCTCCTTTTCAATGAGCATCTTAAAAAGGCCTGCAAGAGTATCAGCCTCAGACCCAGTTCTTGTACTGCTGAACAGCACATGGCAAGTTATGTTACTGTTCTGCTTTGGCTCTTCCACTCAAGACCCCTCAACTTCTCTTCCTGTTCTGCCCACGGCAGATGCTACACAGGGAGAATATGCAACAACAAACAGCTCCAGACTCTCCTTGCTTGGATACTCCAGACCAGGCTGTATTTTAATTTCTGAGTTGTTTGTGGGTTTTGGAGGGTGGGGGGTGGTGAATAAAGAGCTGATATAACTCAAATAGGGCTGATCAATACATTAACAGAAACACTGGGTAAATAAGCAGCTTGGCCTTGTTGACCCAAGTTGCACATCTATTCTTTAGCTAAACATGGATTAACTGAGTCAACATAATGCACTGCTAAGACACACAGGCTTCTCCAATGAAGGGAAGGTCAAGAAGCAGTCACTTGCCTAAGAATAGAATTTTATAGTTCATTGAAAACACAATCAGAAAAGACCAACATTTTACAGCTCTGCTAAGTACACATTTGTCCTATTTTCGTCACCCCATTATGCGGATTTGTGTCATGGCACAGTTACAAATCCCAGGCCCATGACAGAGTGAATCAGCACCAAGAGGGAAGATCCTCACCCCGGGACACCAGCGGATTCCATGCGGTTGGCCAAGGACACGTCGTGCGACCAGACGTCGTACTGCCACTTGCGCAGGCCGATCACCCCGCACAGCACGTTCCCAGAGTGAATTCCAACCCTCATGTTGATGTCTACTCCTGTGGCTTCTCTCACCTTCCTGTGGAGGGATGAGGATATTAGAGCGGGAGACACACTTTTCATTTTCTTCCTCCTGCTGGAGATCTGCTAAGGCTTATACACATAATGCAAAGACGAGACACACTTATGACCTAATTCCTAATTACCCAACTATAGTTAATAACTACACTTTGAAAATGTTGACAAGAAAACTAAGAATTACTCTAATTATATATCTTCATAGTCTTGACACATTAAAAAGTTGTCTGTGCAATACTTACTTGATTGCTTCACAAATGTCGAGTCCCATTTTAACGCAGTTCCTGGCATGAACTGGTAAGGACACAGGTAGGCCTGAGACACAGTAGTAACAGTCTCCCAGGATTTTTATTCTCATGCATTCATTCTCCTGTGAAATTACAGTAAAAATTTTTTAACAGGAAAAAATGAACTGCAAGTAGGCTAACAGCACCAAAGCCAGTGGTTTCAGAAAGTAAGGCTTTGTTCAATCCTTGCTGAAGCAAAGCTTACTTCTTTTTCCCCACATCTGAATGCCTGAATGTTGCTCACTGGAACAACCAGAAGCAACAGAAACAACCACGTCAAGAATTTCTGAAATAAAATCATCTTGCTAATTTCTCACTTTTTTCTTGGAACTGTGTACCATTGAAAAATTATAAATGAAAATAAAACTCACAGAAAGGATCAAACCTACTTATCTATCTTTTAATCTTCATTGTTATTAACACTTGAATTATGGGCAGCTTGTTCACCTTTTCCTCAATTTTTCATGGCAGCCTCATAAGTAAGAGTGTGCAGTATCATAAAACCTGCATTGAAGGAAAACTTAGGAATCACAATGCTCAACCTATTAGCTGTACAAAAGCAAAATGGGGTTATTTTGTTATTTCAAATATGGCTAAAGAAGAAGCTGGCACCCTACAGTTTACTATTGCTAATAAAAACCCCCGTGATATACGGTGGTAAAAAATTTTTTTCCTAGCTGTACAACAGAGGATATGGCTGCCAGTGACTGCCAGGAGAGAGGAAGGGGAAGAACAAAAAGCTTCTCATACTGTCTTTTTGTTAACACTTTACTGAAAAATTGTAGCTACAAAGATTTCAAGCAGGTCAGGGCTAATTCTGCAAGGCTGTTTAATGTTTGACTGATGAGTAGAGATGGCTTAATTTGGGCCAGCCAATACTTCCAGCTGTCCAACCCAACCTGCTGTGGGAACATTTCAGCAATTCCTAAATCAACTCCAAAATCTGCCCAAATTTGTAACAATTTACCAAACTGAGCTGTTCTCTCTCATCAGTCAAAACCTGAAGGGAACATCCATCATTCTCCACCATCTTAAGCCATCCCAGTAGGTTCTGAGCGTTACTACAAGTGGCAAGTTTAGATGGATCAGCAGGGAAACCCAGCCCTAGATTAGAGCTGTTGGACTTCAGTCTCCAGCTCAGTGTCCAGCTTAGCCATCCATTTTTATTAGGTAAATTGGAGCCCACAACATTTGCACATCACGGGAAAAATGACAGAATACTTCCTGGCAGAACAAAAATAGCACAAAAAGCAGCAATGTCTTCTCACAGCTCAGCCACAGAGTTGCAAAAGGCCTTGACTCACTAAATCCAAAAGACTTTGACTCATGAAAGACATTTTTTAAACAGTGCAAATTGCAGACAGGAGTGAGAAATTAAAACATATCATGCAAAATTTAGAATATTTCCTATCTTTGTATCTGAGAAACAGTTTAAAAAAATGACCAAATGTCTAACTTCAGCTTCTACTTTTGCATTAGAAGCAACTTGGCATTTGGCAGCTAAGATGACATGACTCATTCTGTCTCAATAGCTGCTTTGGAACAGTACAGTTGCAATACAGGTAGTATGACTCTGTTAGTAGTTGAAGACTTGAACAGCAACTGAATTCATGTAAACACAAATATTAGCAATGTAATTTAGTAAAAAAGAGTAACTAGGATTTAAGAGAGGTTTTAATCAGTGGTATATTTAAGAATTTATTCAATGAAATCCGCAAAGGATAAATTAATTTCACTTCTCTGCTATATTGATAATTTTAGAGTTCTCACTTTTTCTGAAGGATTTTTAGAATTTCACAAACCCAAGGTTCTCCAAGTCTAATAATTTTCTAATTTTCATTCAGTATATTCAGATCTAACCAATTATGAAATCAAACCAAAACAATGGGAAGATTTGATAGGTAATCATCAGTCTTGACTAATGCTTTACCAATGCTAAATTTCTAAAACCAGAATCTGGGTTGATATTTTGTTTTTTTGAAGTCACATAGGATGAAATAAAATGCAGCATTAGTTTTCTTAAAGCCATAACTGCATCATAACACCGACAGGAAAAATTAATTGATATGACAGAACATATATATTGGATCGGGGTTAGTTTTAGAGAATAATAAAAATCATCATGCAAATATGTAAATGATACACAAAAACTGAGTTTGCAATTACAACTGCAAAGAAATTAATCTCAACAAGCACTTGGAAGTGGTAAGAACTACTGCCAGCCTGAAGGGTCAGTATTAAGGGTATGTCTTAGTAGGGACCATTTTAAACTACTTCCCATTCTTACACTTTTCTGGAAGTATCCATTATTAATTAACACTCCTGAGCTAAAGAACTCTTTGTCTGCTGCCTCTGAATTCACAAATTGAAATGTGTCTGAGAGTTCTCCATTTGTGGAGTCAATACACCGTCCCTCAAGCTGAACACTGCAAAGCTGCTCAACAGAGATTGTACCTCCTACAGCCCTATTACAGTCATTTATCACCTGAACAATACAGATAAACCTTCAAACTCGAGAATTGAAGTTACAGTAATAAATGCTAAATTTTCCATTTTTGTTTTAAATTTTGTTGTAATGTGATTTTGCTAGTTAGCTCTAAAGCCAAAGCAGCCTTCCCTTCCAGATTTCAGAAGCACTAATACCCAACTGCTTCCTGTTGTGAAAGAAAGACTTCTTTTTCCAATGGTGGCCTTCATTCTACAGCACAAACTGTAAACCTACCTTTGCAATCTCATCAAACTTTCCAAAAAGCTCATTCAACATCACTACAAGGTCCTTAGGAGAGCAGTCACTGGCCAGGCGAGTAAATCCTACAATATCTGCATAAAGAATGCTAGACAGGAACAAAAGGAAAAAACAGGGTAAGTGAAATATGGAGGTACATCAATTCCACAGTCAGCATAAATATTAAAATACATTTAATAGAAAGCATCTGTCTCTTTGGAAAACAACTCCAGAAGAAAGGGTTCAAGTATGACCACTTATTTAGAAGACAGCACACCAGTTCAAGACACATTATCTTCTTATAACAGAAGAGAAGCTCACTTCAGTCTGAAAATCTGCCTCCAAATTTTAATTTCATTGGACCATATGCACTGTTAGGAATCAACAGCTTATATTAATACAATTGCTTCTAGAGTTTCCACTCACCTAACATTTTGGTGCCTTTTTACATATAGACTGTGGAAATTATTGTCATGCATTTGCCTATTATCATTAGTTTCCTTCAGTCGTTCAATGATTGCCAACTTCATTTCCATAGAGATATGAGCTGGCAGGATGGATAAAAGCAAATTTTCCTAAAAGAAGGGGGGATAAATAATTATTAACACAGTAAAATTGAAGCAGCAGAATTGTAGTGATTGCAAGAAGGTATTGAAAAGCAAACAAACAAACAAATGCCTTTATTCAAATAGCTTTTGAGTAATGCATGTCAGGTTTTCCAGAAGACACTTAAACATTTCTGTTCTCAAAATTATTGATATTACAGTTATGCAAGGATGTTGCTTATTTTTTCTTTTGTTTCTTGTGATCTAGATGTGGCATGTCTCTGTAACCATGAAACAAAAAAAAAAAAAAATCAGCATTCAGTACTACAATTTCTGGATAAATTATGTTTAATTTTGTCCACTAATCTCAGTATTATGTTGTCATTGTCTCATAAAGACGCTGTAAAAGTTTATATTCTGTAACTAACAATCTATGCAGTATTAAAAACCCTCATAAATTCCCAAATGCTGCAAAAGCAGCAACAGATACCAAAGTGCCAACGACATGCTGCTACAGCTTAACTGAACCAGGAAGCAATGCCACTGAAATGAAGCCCTTTGAACCGAGGGAGAACACAGACTCCTCCAAAAACACTTCATTGTGTGGCTATTCCAGGCATTGTTTTACACTGGCTTTGACTCAAAAGCCTATTCTTCAAAGAAGACCCTGGTAAGTGCTGGGCAGAAGAGGAAGACAAAAAGAGAATACTTTAACCCAGGAAGGGCTCTACCACCCCAGAGGCAGAGTCACCACAGCAGAGGAAATGTTGTGTGGAGCAGCTACGAGCAGGAACTTCTTCAAGTGGCATCGACAACAAGGTCAGCAAATTGTGTGACTAAAATGCTGTCCCTTTGGACTATATTTTTGTCTCTTTTTTTCAATACCTTATGCAGCAGTGTGCAGATGACAGTAAGCTGCCAGGGTTACTTAGCCACCAAAAGTGCCTGCCACCGAAAAGAAATACCTTGGGATCACAGTGGGAAGAAATAGTCCTTGAATATTAAGTAGTGGCCTACACAACGTATAGACAGCAGTTTGGTTTGAGACTGCCCAGAAATAGAAACACCTCCTTCTCCTCATCTACCATTTTAGTACCAGAAGTATCAACCTTGGGGAACAATTTAAACTGACATCAGATTCCCAGTGCATATAACAGGACCACTGGAGGCTGACACATTACACTGTTTTCATGGAAGTGATGAGGAACCCTGAACTGCAGTTTTCATATCTTTTTCCCAGAGGAAGAGTTTGTGGCAAAAAGGATACTCAAAATTGCGTGACAAATTGCCACACAGATGAAAAGAAAGCTGTCCATAAACTTAAGCACACTTACACTTCAAACAAGGAGCCATTAAAAAAGAAACAAACTCAAAACCAAAGCCCTAAACCCCCTGGAAGTCACCACATTGCCCAAGAAATGAGAGCACACAGCCTGTGTAAGGTGATCAGATGGTGCCCTGGCGGCTATGTGGGGAAACTCTGCCAGGACTTTCATGCAGATTTGTCATCTCATCTCACAAGATTAGCATCAGGAACAGATTGCACTAGCAGTGTGGCATTTTCTTCTTTTCAGTTTGATCAGGTCAGTCACTTTACAGCCCCTTCCTTTTATCTAATAACTGGTAGGCAGAGAACACGGCACATATCAGCCTTCTAGACTGCTATTCTTAACCCTACTTATACCAGGATAAAAGAGGAAAGGTGCCCTAGTTTCAGCTTTGATACCTCTCTACAGTCCTTCCTCAGTAAGAAATTAATGTTCCTTCCTTATTCTTTAAATACCAGTGGAGTTTATGGAAATAAATTATTTATACTCAACTACTGTAATCTATTACATGATTGTTTTCTCCCTTTGGGTCCAATTTTCTCCTTTTAGCAAAAGAAAAATAATTTGTGAGACAAGAAAATATAAGAAAAAATAATAACTTAGAATTCAGACCAAAAAAAGGCGACCAAGGGAAGCGTAAAATCAGCTGCTGAAATTACCTTACATGTAATTTCAGGGCATTAAGGACACGTTCTTTTAAGTTACCTTGAGCCAGTCAGTATACACAGTTTATACAGGAAAAAAGCAACTAAAATGACTGGCAATTACATTCCTGTTGGAAAATACTGTGATTTTCATATAGACAAGGCCCAGAGAACAGCTTCCTCCATTTAACTTCCTTCTTCTGTTCCAAATGGCACAACTCTTATTTTTGACACTAGGTGGATATCATAAAGACTGGACCAAGCCTTTCAACATGCATTAGTCACCAACCTCATGAAATTATACCAACTTGGGAAATGAAAACAAGCAATTCATGACATGAATTAGCTCACTCACTTGTTGCCTCTTTTCAATCTTCAGTTTCATTCTGACCTGAATGCACTTCAGTGTGTATCTGTACAAATCCCACGAAGCAACCTGCATTTGGCGTTTGTGAAATGCACCCATCAAGTTACCACAAAGGAAAATGACAGCATTGGCAAGTAGCTGCACAAGAAGAAAAATATTTACCTACTGCAGAGCAGTCATTGATACTTCACTCACACACATACTAGTCCCATAAAAACAATTAATCCCAGACCGCCTTCCATTTCCTCCTACCCTGCCACATAACAAGTCACAGTGTTGCAATCAGCCAGGATGTAGCTGGAAAACATAAGCTAACTTTCACAGTCACAGCCACTCCTCTACAAATATAGAGTAAAATAACGAAACAGAAAGTTCTGCTATACCATTTAGCATTTATTTCCAGGCACAGTGTTTGATTTATGGAGAGATCAGTCTACAAAGTCATGCATCAGCACACTGTGTGGAGTCTGGCACACACCTGCATCAAATGAGCTGGGGTGCTCCTTTGAACACACCCTATTAATAAGTGTTGGGAACCCTGGAAACACTCAGCAGCATTCCCAGGCCCTGCTGACACCCCAGGGCAGCAATGGCCCTTTTGATCCACCCTGTGGGCAGTGCCTGATAAAGTTAGACAGACCCACCTGAAACAGCACAGATTGGTTAGAATGATCATGACAAAGTGTGTCATATTTTTAATAACTTTGTTTAAAAATTAATAGAACAATCCTGCTTTTTCCACTTACATCAGAAAAACAAAATGCATTATAGATTTAAAAATTCACAGTTTTATGAAAAGCCCAAGCTTTTTGGGGCCCAAGTTCTAAATCCATGAACTTGATACATCCAGGTAGAAGCCTGGAACTTCTCTACAGAGAATAGTTATGCCAATAGCAAAAGGTAATTTGACTAGGTTATTTAATTACTTAACCAAGTGATATTTCCTTACCTGAAATAGAAAGGATTCATCCTTTTTCTGAGAAATCATGCCTACCACAGTGCTTAGAACAATAATATGGGAAAGAGCAGAAAGAACACTGATTATGATGGCACCTCGCATCCCAAAGGGTAGCATGGTATAAACTGTGAAGATTATGAACAGGAAGAATGGCACCTTTGGAAAAAGAAAAAGGGAAGGAAAAAGAAAAACATCACACATACATATTATTAGTTGTCTCCTAAAAATCACTACAGAAAAAGGAGCAAAGTTGCAGGATTCTTGCTCACTTTCATTCTGAACAATTAAATATTCATGTTTCAAAAGTACAGTTAAAACCATAAGGACTGTGGTAGTTCTATGAGTTTTGAGGGAATTAGCAGCTACAGATTCACAGAAAAGATTGTTTAACATGACATCTCACCTATAATTTTTTCAACTCTCCTTGCCCTTTATCCTGAATTTATCCATTACAGCTGCAGATGCACTTTGGATGCACTTTGTGCTCACACATCAGGAACACTGTGTTGCAAGGGTAGCAATACCGAATGGAATCAGATTTCTCACCTTCTCCAAGTTATTATTCTAATTTTAACATCACCCAATCACATGTGTGTGTTTACTCTGTGTTTGATAAAACCCAGAAGTCCAACCAATACTTCATGGTGCTGACAAAAAAGAATAACCTTTATTGCCACCGACTATGTACTTAGCTGCACAGATTTTACAAAATGCTCAACAGGCCACTAAGCTTCAAGGGGTCAGTAGCAGGGCCTATAATACTTAAATCCTTATTTATAGATTTGTTAAAATTGTTAGCTTTTATATATGCAAACTAACGACCCCAATCAGAGGAAAATACTGCAGCATTCCTGGCTCAGCTCCATCTCATCACAGCAACTCAACTTATGCCAGTCCAGACAGGAGCTTCCTTCGAGGAAGTCTCAAGGCCCCGTCTGCACTTAAATGTTTTGCCAGAATAGATAGTTTGATTGGGACAACAATAAAGAAACAAACAAACAAGCAGGCAAATAAAACTTTTCATTCAGCAAAAGTAATCTTTTAATGTTTGTCTTTTTTATTGTAGTTGGATTAGAATAATTTTCTGCCATATTTACAACCCCATCACACAGTGTTCTGAATGCTGTGTTCTAGTTTTATAAGCATGGAGAAACAAAGGCCAAATCTGCATTTATGCAGTAGCTTTAATTAGTGATAAATTCATAAGGAGGTGAAAGTCTGAAATGAGTCTATTCACTTCTACTTTCCAGACTAGAGTGTCTTTATATTTTAGACTTAAAATAAATATGAATGAATTATTATCACATGACAACACCACATTGACTTGCAGCACCAAAAGCAGCAAAACCAAATTTTCCTTCATTACATATTTATATTTCTAGTTAAGAACAGTAAATTTGGGATTTTTTTCCCCTAAGGTAATAGCTACTTCCTCAAGTTAAAAAAAACTGAACAACTCTAAATGAACAGTGCTGGATCCAGGCCACAATGCAAATCAGATTTTGGTGGTTTAACTGATAATTTATATCTTTCTTTATTGAAATAAAGAGGGGAAGGGGAAGAGTCAGTAAAACAAGATAAAAAGTCATTTTTATTTAATTAAAAACTCTTCTGCTTGCATTATGAGAGCTTAGGAGGAGTTTCCTACAGATTATGATATTTTTGGCATCATGAAATCGCCCGTCTTCTGATCAGAGATAGCAAGCAATGAACTTTAGCCACACCCAGATATGCCAGGATGTGTTATTAATTCTTATTGTTCACTTCACCTCTCCCACTGACTTAAAAACGTGCTCCCTAGGGCACACCCAGCTCTGGAGTCCTTTATACATTTCTTGAACACCTCTTTGACCCATATACATTAACAAAGCAACTATTATTATGAAAAATTCTCTTGGAGATTAATTCATAGTAATTCAGATTTAGTAAAAATCCTAAATAAAAACACAATTCATTTACAACTTAAAGATGTAATTCCCACATAGATTTATGCAGTTATCTACTTTTCTCAGCTGAATTATATTTAACAAAGAACACAAAGTAAGATTTACTGTGATAAATCAGTGAAACCAATTTAGAAAAGTGAACCCAAACCTCACCCCAAAAAAATTGCTATAGTGTTATAACAAACACATTCCTTTATACCACCAGTTCTGTGTAAGTACCTGAAAAAATAAGACATCCATACCTGATCCCACAGCTGATAATCACTTTCTTCAAAAAGAGATACATATCCCACAGTTAGGAAGCACATCCAAATCATCACTCCAAAGAACGTCAGCCACCTTCGGAACAGGGATTCAATGCACAGCAGCAAGTACATGACTGCAAATATGACCAGGGCAGCACACACTGCGATGATGAAGGCAGGATGAGAACGCGCTACCTGCAAAAACAAAACAAATGTCCCCTTTAGAAAAGTGAAAAATGCATCTATATCGTCCTGGAAACAGCTTGGATACCTATAAAACATTCTAAATTGGGTTCCTAAGCAGACCAGCTGTGGCAGCATTGACACTTTCTGATATTCACCCATATAGAGATGATATAATAAATACTATTCTAGATACTTATTCCACCTAAGTTCCACCATTATTATTTTTCAGAGTAGTGGTTTGGAGTTTGTCTTTTAAGCTAAGTTATACCTACACTACGTCTATAATGCAGATGCACCCAAAAAGAAATGTATTTAAGCAGTTTAAGCTTTGCTGAAAAGCTTGCTAAAAAAAAAAAAAAAAAAGTTTTAGCTAAAAAAAATTTCCGAGATTTACAGGAGACAACTTGTTACAAATAGTGTTGCTACTTCTTTCCTTTCCTAAGAAATAAAAGCTAAAAGGGTTACAAGTGCAAACGGCAAGATGTTGCTAAAGAGAGACTTAAAGACACTATCATGAAGCACAGTGTTTGGAAAGCAGTGTTACAAGGCAATGAAAGATTATAAAAACTACCTTATTACCTTTTTGCAACATTATCTTTATTTAAACTCCCTTTTTACGAGCTGTCAGCTGGGCTGGCTTGAAGAACACTGAATTTCTTTTCAGAAAATCGTATTACACTACATAACAAAAAAATTCTTTAAGCCTCATCTCTCTTATGCCTATAGGAATCCTGCTCTTTGCTAACTGCCTATTGATTCAACAGATCAAACACTGTATTGGGAGATTCCTATTGTATATCTATAAAACCTTAAAAAAACCACATCACCTCAGGAATTCATAACAACAAATCACTATAATATTTTACATTCCTTATAAGAGTCTAAAAAACATAGAAGAAATGCAGGACATTTTAACTTATGCTCTTGTTCCTTCTTCGGCTCTTTTACTACTTACTTATTATCATAACTAGCGTTTAAAATAGTTTATCATTTTTTCAAAACATATAGAAAGAAAAAAAACAATCCTTTTAGTAACTGTGCATGTGCCTGACAGCACTGTCTCCTTTCTTCCTGTCCCTTTAAAAACATAGAGTATTACATTCACAATTACTTGATTTCTTTTAGCACTGCAACTGCAATACCATGGGGCTATGAATGTTATTTAGAAAAAATGTCTCATAATGACTCCTCATCATCTTTGAAAACACTGAACACAGGGGGAAAAAAAAAAAGTATACTCACATCAGTAACAAAGAAGATGATAATTAGAGTAGTCCAGAAGATGATTGCAATGAAGAGCAGCAGTAGCAGGAGGGGATGCTGCTGGCTTGTGTAGCGGTACTTCTCATAGAGCGGGTCTGATATCCTGCAGTCATCATTTTCATTGAAGAAGTATTTACCTTTAGTTGGCATTTTCTCCCAGGTTGGTTGCTATTTCTCTCAGTTCCCAGTGCACACAATAAAACACAGCTGAAGCTACAGCTTCAAACAGAAGTTTTGCCTTCTCGCTGCTGCCTCTGTGGTCTTCAGGCACACTGAGTAACCCACGTTCTCTGGTTTTGCTTCTCATGAACATCAAGTTCAGATTTCCAATGCAATCAAAAGCAAGAATTAGCCTCCCCAAAACCACAGGCAACTCATCATCAGCTCTATGCATGAATCTCCAGATCAACTTGTATTTGTGCAGATAGGAATTATTGGCAGGAGGTTTTTTTTTTTTTAATTACTATTTTGCAAGTCTCCAACTCCTTTTTCAAGAATGTTGAATCTCACTTACTGGGATGAATGCTGCAGAGAGACAGTACATTAATGTGTTCAGTTAAGCGTATACAATGTTCCCCAAGGCAGGGGGGAGAGAAATAAAAATAGTTCATGCCTCAAACTTTCTACCCGCCTGCTCTAACCAGTGAGTAAAAGCTGTTTGCCCCAGTGTGGGGGCAGCCCAAGAGCCCTGTGCGTGGGCAGTGGTGCCCAGCAGGCACAGAGCTCACCCACAGCTGCTCTGCCCACCCCAACCGCTCCTTTCTCCGGCAACTCAAACATTTTCATATGTACATTTTCATACAACATGGGTTTGTTTTTTTTTTCTTTGATCAAACAGCAGTTTCCATGAGCATGTTGTGTAACTGAATGTTCACTCCTCTTTTGAAGTTGTGTGCTCCTGTATATATATATATAAATAAAATCTTTAATCACGATATACTTTGCATTCTTTTCCAAAACATGCATCTTAAAAATTATGAAATCCTTTTTTTTATTCCTTTCACACTTCAATTAAGGCGTAGAAAATGAGGAAAAAATATAGTTGTCCAAGCCAAAATTCAATAAACTTTTTTTTAAAAGATACTTAACATTTAGTTTCATGTATTCCATTCCACTAAAAGTGATCATGTTTCCAAGGCAACATGTGTGTTCTGTTAACAATGAACATTAAGGAGTGAACTCTATTGTTAATTACTAATGACCAGTATTCTTCAAATAGATTCATGAATATAGTTCACTCAGTGCCAAGAGCCACCAAAAAAAAAAAAAAAAATAGACAGGGGGATAAGATGGAGGGAAGCATGAAAAACGGGATTTCAGAAGTCTTATTAAAACTTGATAGCTGGACCACAGCTTCTTTGCCACTTGACTGCCATCACCATGGTGCCCAAGGCCAGTGCTCTGGGAAGAAAGAACCCAAGAAACTCACTTTCTTTTTTTTCCTTTTAGAAAAGTCATATCTTAGCCAGCTACTTTCAAAAGACAAAATGCTTAACTGCACACACATTTCTACTGCATTCGCACTACAAACAGAAAAACATTTCAGAAACCATAGTGAGGGATTTCACCTCTAAATAGAATCAAACACTACCCAGTTATTAATGACCAAGTTGGCAAAACTAGGTATGTCAGTAGCGAGACTGGACAAAAAAAAAGTGAACTTTTGCAAAATGAGTGACTACAACTTGTTGCCCAGACTATATCACAGACTTTGATTAATCACAGAAAGAGAAAAGACTGTATTGCATCACTTTTATTGAATAAACTGACATATGTATTAAAAACAGAAATAAAATTGAAGACACCTTTTAATACATCTGTCCCATGTATAGTTAATGACACACCTAATATCTCACCTGTACTGGTTATTACTGAGCTTTTCCTCATAATTAAGGGTCTCTAATTTCTCACTTGAAAAAGTCATTCTGGTGCTCATACCATCTGCATGTGAATAATAATGCTCTTGCAAAGAAGTGTAAATCTCAGAAATCACTGCCACTTAAAGGAGATATGAAGAAGAAATGGAAACATTTGCATAATTTTTTAATGCCTTTTCCAAGTCCAAGTTAATTGCAGAACTACTTCGATTGAGTACAGTCCAGTTTTTTTCAGAAGCTGTGTACAGGGGCAAGCAACATTTGTCTGAATTTGTCTTTCAATAACAAAGAAAACACACTACAAACAGTAAGAAGGTTTGGACTGTGATGCACCAGAGACAGACAGCTCACTGAAGAGCCTGAAGAATTCCTCTACCATGGGAGTGAGGTTGCAGGGCCACATTGCCTGATGTGAACCACTGTGTAAAAGAGATGACAGGCTTGCTGTCCCAGTTCCCTCCGAAAATGTATTTCAGAATAAAAAACAGTGAAAAAGTTCTTGCAAGTGTCTGCATGAAGCAATGCAAGGGCAGAGGGAGGAGAGAGAAAGGGAAGGCATCGAGGGAGCAGAGCAGAGAGAGCTGCTCATCCCAGGGACTTCTCTCTGGAGCTCTGGCACAAAGAGCAGTCTCCCCCCAGGCAATGCAAGGTGGAGCAACAAAAGGAGAGGTGTGACACCTGATCCAAAAATCAAACTGATAACGATGAAACAGGTCTTGGGATGGCCCTCCTTCATTCTCTGTATTTGTAGAGTAGGAACAGTTTTCAGGTGCTGGCGGTCACAGGCTGGGGAGTGGATCTGGCAAACCTTCACCCTCCTGTGCAGCCAGCCAGGGATCCCGTCCTTTCCTCCCCTTTAGGAGAATTATTCAAAGCAGCTACTGACCAAGTTATTGCCTTTCCAAACAGAATCCAAGAATACTGCAGATCTGTTTTAATCAAAGCTACTGACGTATTCAAAAAAAATGAACACATCCACAGTAAACACCTGGATAATTTTTAAAGCATTTTTTCACTTAGTTGTTCATTTGACAAGAACTCAAGCCTTGATCACCTAGAGCTGTCTGGTTACCAAAGAACAGTCTCACTCCAAAATATTAAAACAAACCCCAACAGCAAGAATCAAATGAATTGATATAAATGGCCTTATTCCTCTCAATAACTGCTCACAAAAGCAAGCAGAGCCAGTTTTTCCATCTTCAACTACTACAGGACCAGACAGAAGGTACAGTTTCGATTTTCATTCTATCTTTTGTTTCACACAAATAACAACAGTGTTTCTGAAATTACTTTAGCAATTTCCCTGACAAGAATGATTGCTGACTGTAATTATCCATTAGCAGATATTTAAAGAGAATCAGGAATCTATAAACATCCAGTAGAGTAATTGAAGGAGATTAGTAGATTAATTATGGATCTTAGGCAAAAATAATCTCCAGTCTAGTGGACTCCACAACTAATTCAGTCTAGGAAATGAACTTTAGCAATCCCAGCGTACACCACAGGAAATACCATTCACGTTAAAGACAACACTTCTTCCTTTTAGACTTTGCTTCCAAATGTTAGTCTGCAGTCACCTTAGCTTTTTCTACTTGTACAAAAATATTAAATGGAAAACAGGTGTGTTTTTAGTGATCTACACTAGCAGTGGCAAGTTTCTTTACAAAGGTGAACCATTTCTTATATTTTGAAGACTTTCATGCAAAATTTCATTTTCCTTAATTGCATTTAATTTCTGAAGAGCTCCTTCTGCAACACAGAAAAATCTTTGTTACATTTACCTTCTATTTTCCTACAAAAAGTGAGGATGCACACAATACATCACTCAGAAATATATTTACACAAAAAAAGCCAAATCAATACAAAAAGTAATCTGTCATTTGAAAAAAAAAATAATCAAAACCAAAACAAACAGAAACCACAACAAAACCAAAAGTGGGAGAAATCCCACCATGTGTCTGAGCAATCAGCAACACTAAATCACCTGAGCTTTGCCCTTGAACATTAAGAGCCATAGCAATGACAATGCCAAATATAGTGCAAAGAATGCATTGGAACTGAACTTTCTTTTATTCACATTCTTATTTCAGTAGATTGCTTCTTCTCTAATTGTTTGTTCTACAATACACCTCTGTCAGGGTGGTGGAGCGCAACAGCAGAGGTATCGACGAGCTCTGGAGATGGCCCAGGGTTTGGAAAGGAAAAGCAAACCACAAGCAGGAAAGCAAGGGCAGCAATGAGCTGTTAAATTGACTCATCACCTCTCACAGGTCCATAGCCTCTGAAAAACAATCTCAAGAACACCACTTCTAAAGCTGGGGGTGGGAAGGGGGAGTGTTTGTGGCTCATTTTTAAGTAGCACTATTATTACAGAATGTGCTTTGAGGAAAGAGATTACAGTCACATAAAAGAAATCTCTGTGCTACTGATCCAGGTAGGGCAGGGAGATGGTGACAGAAGATGGCTAAGAAAACTGATTGGTAATTTAAGACCAGCTCACAACTTTAGTAAAAAAAAAAGAAGAAGAATCCATATAACGAGATTGATGCTACTGAATTACATGGGAGGGTTTACTACTGCTCTAAAGTAGTTTTTGTTCTGAAAAGACTTGATGGTTTAACCAACTAATCTATTAAGGCTTGTAATTAACTGTTGGGTCTGGCTCAGTGGGGCAGGGGAGGGGGTAGTCCTTTCATAAACCTGGTTTTCATAAGCAGCAACTCCAGGGAGTAAAGAGATACATCACACCTGAAGGGAACTGAGGTGTGCTTTGCATCTTTCAAAATCCAAGGTGTGTGATTATTTCTTGACTCCCTGACTCCCCCTCACATCTTACAGATAGATTTCCTGACTTCAGCTGGTTTAATATTGAACTTACCACTCAAAAGTCAATATTCCACTTACACTTTGAGTTTTCGGTGACCTATTTAAAATTCATGTCTTTGAGCACAGTGTCCTCAGAAGCCAGGATAGCTTTCCATTGTGTAATTTCAGTTTAATTATACCAAAAGCAGAGCGTTTGTTCAGTTATTTAAAGCAATAAAACCCACAATATCAAGCCATATAAACTGCAGAAAAAAACCCAACTTGAAACACAATATTAAATTTGAGCACTATGGGGAAAAATAGTTTTCAGCTAAGACAGGAATAGGACAGAGTCTCTGTGTGTATAAACCTCAATAACTTCTACTAGAATATCCCTGATTTTCATAAAAATTAAAATTCCTGATATTTTCAGAAGATCTATTTTTAAAGGAAAAAAATGTATTGCAGTAGGTAATACTCAGCCTTTATTGAAATTAGCAATAAAGAAAAAAAAATCAAGAAAGGTGTTTGAACTGTCAAGGTGGTTCTTTTCAGGCATTATCTCATTTAGGTTACAGAATTACAGCATATAGCAAACAAAAGTGCTTAGGATATTACATTTTTTAATCTCAATATCATTAATTACATCTACAATGAAACTTCTCTCATTTGTACTGCAATATTTTGAATATGCCTCAGATATTTTATTTCAGTTAAGCAGTCAAGAAGTACAGACTGCCCATGTGACAGACATTACTAGGATGTAACTGGACTCTTCTAACTATAACTAAAAAAACCAATAAATGTGCAGTAAAAAAATAAAAATTAAAATAAATCACAGTGAACACTTACAAAGGAGTGTAAGGGGCATCACCCATTTACTCTCATTTTTTGCTGTCTCACATAGTTATTTAAGGGGGTTGTTACAATTCAGTATAGAAATGAGTCTTTCCCACCTCCAGGGTAAATAGTGTATTTGCACAGAACAGGTGCAGGGACAAGGGCCACACCATGGGAGGGAAGAAGATAAAACCCATAAGATAAGAAATCATTTGTTGTTTTGGTTGAGTCCAGCTAAAACCAGTACAACAGAGAAAGGGGCTCCTCTCTCTTCTACCTACAATACTTCCATGCTACTGAAGTGAATAGAAATGTACATGGCATCTAAAATTCAACCAATGCATTGACATCAACAATAACTTTGGTTTCTTTGACTTTTTTTTTGCCCCGGTCTCTAATTTTTACAGAATCAAATATTTTTTTAAAACAATTTTGCCAAACATGATAACCAAAATGCAGGAGTAAACCATAATGTAAGAACATCCCTTATGTCTCTTGCCAAAGGCCAAAGCCACTGCTTCTATCTGAATTTCTGTTTACTCAACTCTTCCCTAAGCAATCAGACCCACTGGCAATCTCACTTGGAAAATAAATCTCAGCACATGGCCAAGAGATGGACATCAGTACCTGGAGCAGTGCACTGCAGGGTGATACTACAGTACAAATGTTAATGTATAAAATACCCTTTGTGAAAGCAAAGCCTTCATGCTAATTATGAAACAAGTGGGAAGGTAAGAAGACATTAAATCCAATCGCCCGCTTTACTTAATGACTGGTGCTTCAAGAAAAAGTTCTATCAAGTACATGTTTTAGAAATCTTATTTCTATATTCTACTTACTACAGAGGAATTTTAATGTTCCCCAAACTTAACGGTGCAACATTTAATACACAACCACATCCGTACTTCACAGCCAAAAACACTAAAACTAACACTTGCAATGAGGAAGTTCCCTCCCTTGGAGGTTAAATATTAAAAACACCACCAAGGAGACAGACATTTCTAATAGAAGCATTGTTTCCACATTCATACCCTACCTCAGGACACAGCAGCAGTCAAACACACACAATTCTTTTGAACAGTTTTCCAAAGCGTAATATCTGGTTCAGGAAATGTCCTTTGTGGACTCATTCTGACATAAAAGGATGATAATGGACTGCAAACCTCTGAAATCTTGTATTTTCAGCCTCACTTGAAAGCAACACACACTAGAAAATTTTTAGGAGCTGTATACATATTTTTCTTTGATCCAGACAACATAAGGCAAGCATTCATGAGTGGCTGGGTAAGCTCTCTTGGATCATATGAAGAAGGAACCATGAAGAAGCAGTGAGAGCTTTCCAGTGATAACCAACATGCCTCATGGGACGTTTTCTTCCACGCTAAGTTTTGATTGTCTTAACACACTTAATCGACTGTCTTCTTCTTTCATCTTATCTTTCATCTTACCATTTTCAAAGCTGAGTCTGACAGCCAGCCCTGTCAAACTGTTCCCAGCTCCAACAGGCTACTGGAAAACTGCACCGTATAAAGCACTGACTCACCAGGGAAAACTTGGCTATCTCACCTGGCACAGCCAAAATGAAGAAGACACTTTTAAAATAAATTCTCCTTAAGCAGTTTTGTCTTTTGGATTTGCTGATACTAAGTCCAGTTAACTAGCATTAAAACAAAACCTGTTAATTCCAAAACTGAAATAACACAATAGACAAAGCAAATCTTCAAGATACGGCAAAAAAGTCACTTTCCTAAAAACCTATGCAGTTACTGCCTCAGAGAAACATGAAGTTCACAGAAGAACTTTCCAGAATAGTGACATATGCACCAAACCCCTGGTGCAGGTTACCACTGGTCAGCAATGCCCAGGGAAGGGTGTTAAACCTCAGCAGCAGCCATTGAAAAAGCACTTTTTACCTGGACTGTAATGCTGAGCTGTCCTAGCACATTGCTCCAGGTTGTTGGGGACCTAAATCTTACTAAGACTACTGATAAGAAACACATGTTTGCTTACCATTACAGGCCACAGGATTTATTGCCAAAAGTTGTATTTCTCCACTCCTCTATGGTCTGCCCAGTCATTTTGAGATTCCTGCAGCAGAGGGAGTGCAGCCCGCTCAGGTATAGTCCTTGACACTAAATCTTTCGATGTATCACACACAGGAACCTGCAACAAGACAGGGAATCTTTACTCCAAGGACCACTGCAGGCATTAACTATGCTTCTATTTCTTCCCCTCCTAGAAAAATCTACTCAATCTCTGTCTCTACATACTATGAACCTTTACCCAAGCAATCAATAGAAGAAAAAGTTCTTAATTATACTGTGACACACTGCAGCATGAATATAACTTAACTGAAAGACTGAGATGGAAATCTCTGAGAAGGTTGAAGACTGATGAAAGGCATCATCTTTATGCTAAATGATCCCAATGCTTTTCAAGCAAAGCCTCTGTGACAGCAAAGGACACTCTGCTAGAAATAGTATAAAAATATTTCACTGAATTTCACAGCATTATAGATAATGAAACCCATAAGTACTTCAGTAAATTTTATTACACACAGGATCAAATATCAGCAATTTAAAAAACACTCCAAGAAGGGAATCTGAAGCAAAACAGTGCATTATTCAAAACAGCATAAAACATCACAGACCTGCAAATATGACAACATGGTAGGAGCACAAGAAGGGCAGAAATGAACATTCCCAGGATATCATGGACAGGACATTGTATCTCCACATAGGCAGATGATCAGAAGACATGGTCAGGTATCATCCCTGAACCCAGAGCACCAGCTGTCTAGTAGGGGAATTCATATTATACGTAACAGTCCTTGTCTTTGTCTTCCTTTCTACTTTATCATCTTTACATGCACTCTGGGAACAACTGGTTAGATGTGTCAAGATGCCAAGAGTTCAATACCTCAGCACAGTATCAGGTACCAGCAGGAGCCCTGAGTGCTCACTATTCATGCTGGAATCCAGTGTGTGCTCACCAGAGGCAGGAACCAAGAAGAGTAAATGGTTATACAGCTGTGCTGAAAGAATGACCCAAAAAGAAGCCCAGATCAGGAAATCCAAATTAAGATGTCAGTGGGAAACCTGATACAAGTTAAATAGATGTGCTGGGAAGGGACCAATTCAACATCTACCTCATTGTTCACCCCAAAGCTCTGTCACTAGAAACCCACTTTGGAAACCAGAAGGCATGGGAAACTGCCAAATAATCTGGCACAAAATCAGAGTGGATGCAGAGTATTCTATCACAACAAGAATTAAAACAAATCTACACTAATTTTCAGTTAAATGTTTGCAAGAACACCCAAACTACTTGAATCATCACTCCAAATAGGCACTTCATTCTCTCCCCCTGGGCTAAATGTCCCGTTCATCCTAAGCTCTGGGACAGCTGTGACCAAGTTCCATTGGGTTTTGGCCAGCAGTCAGCTGTACCTAGCCAAGCCCAACATGCATCCATATTCATGAAAGTGAGGTGGTACTGGAAAAGATTCTTACGAGAAAGGTCAAAATCCTGATGAAGCGTTTTGGCAGCCTTGGAGGCAGATGAGAGGGAAAAAACTATGATATCTCAGGGAGTTCATCTGAAAAGGCAGATACAAATCTGCTGTCTCTGTGCACGCTTAAAAGCAGATAAAAATAAGACTTGGTTCAACCTGTTACATGTTCAATCTGGAATGCCCAAATAAATTGCTGGTTTACTTTCCTTGTATTATGTATCCAGCATTAAGGATGAGTTCCTGGTAATCATGAGATGCCTCGTGCCTTTTAAATGGACCACTGTCATCTAGAGAGCAACACTGGGCACTGTTTTACTGGTGTTCAATTGGGAAAATGAGGAGAATGCCCAAATATTTTAGAGCATCTGAGAAATTTAATTATTTTAGAAAAATGAAGTATGATAGTTTTCAAAAATCACCTCATTTTAATGAAGGTGCTTAATTATAGTAATTCATACTTACAACACACCTAGCTGGTCCTCAGAGAATTAATGTAAGGACTATACCAAACTCACAAAATTGCACTGATTTTCATTTTTTTTTCATTTTTAAAAGATGTGCCTAAAAATACACATTTTGCCAGAGCCCTGGATAAAGAGTTGCATGCGAGATTCCCTTCAGATACAGAGGGATCGAGCTGCTGCTCCCCTAGAAGTGTTCTCGGGATCAGGCCCTGGGGACAGTATCCTTCCTATATCATACACAGACACTGCAAACAAGGATAGCACCTGGCAGAAACATTTCACACCAAAATCTAATGGGAAGGGAGCTAAAAAAGAAAGACATTTGTAACCGAAGCTCCTCGGAGGCACAAAGACCCGTCTGCTGATAAGCAGCAAGTTTCCGGCAGTAAAGTGATACACAGAGTACTTTGAACCATTTTTTTGATCTGCAAGACAGACAAGCCTCCCTGCATTCAGCGCTAACCACAGGTGCCTATTTCCCTAGCAACAGCTTGTGGGGCACTTTCATTTTGACTGAAGAACATTTAACCAGTTACATTATGAGCCCTGCCCCTCGCTGCTACCGCAGCAGTTGCTTTTCACACCTCCCAGATTGTTATTTGTGTAGTATTGAGCTGGTGGATCAATGCTGCACCTGCAGCACAGGTTTGCTGTATTGGGGTTGGTGTTTTGTTGGGTTTTTTTTTAAACTATCTGAACTTTATCAACTAAAACTTGTCAAAAGTTGGGGGGGGGGAACCCTACACTATTAACAAAAGGTCTTCCTTCTTAGTAACACCTCTGCCTATCATTGCTTTCCAGATGTTTCCTTTGAGTTTGGAGTATTAGAGCACACAGGAGAGAAGAACACCACAACAGTTTTTGATTAATTTTAGGGAGACTTAATTAGCTTCAAGAAACACAAATTTCACATAAACTCAATAAGACAGTATATTATAAAAATCCCAGACCTACCATCTTTCACCAAACTTAATACTTGCTTGGAGCAAAGACTTGCAAAGTTGGTTGATTCTTTCCAGTTTTATTTAAGACAGTCAACAGCAAATGAAATAAACTGAAAACCCAGAATTTGCTGTGGCTACAGAAATTGTACAGAACCTAAACAAACACTGATTTTCTTTGACTTCTTTTTCAAAAAAGCCCCCTTCACTTTTTCTTTTGGTGCATTTATGAGATATGCTTTTTATTGCCACCAGTAACTTAATTTTTTCAACATAAATAGAAATCCTTAATGATAACTATTTTCAGAAGTGTTCACACTATCCTTACTCAGACTTTCTGATTGGTTCAGTGGACACCATCACAAAACTCAGTAGAGATACACTGATATGCACCAAGAGTTTCTGGTTATCTACACAGTTTATTTATTAACTTCAAACTCTAAAGTTGCCACTAGACTCAAGGTTTATCCTGCTAGGAGATACAGGAGCAACACCAATTCTGCCGGAGCTCTAATTTGAATGCTCATCCTGAATATCCACAATTGTAAAAATGTATTAATTTATTTCAAATAATCACATCTACACTGAGAAGTGAAATATTTTACAGGAAATCTCTTTTTAACAACTTCACTGATAATCATTTTGCACTGAAATACTGACATTCATTTGAAGTATTGTTGGACAAGATAGCATGGCATAAGGTGCATTGAGTACCAGTTTGAAACTATTTTATATCTAATCTGTAAAAAGCACATTTCATTACAGTAATTTTAACTGAATTAAAGTATTTTAAAACAAAAACGTGATGTGTATTGTTAAAATCCTGTGCTACACTTAAAATCTACCTTACCCAGCAGATCCTTCAGATGTTGTTTTACAACGCTACTAGTTATTTCCCCTCAGCTACATACAGTTCCTATTTAAAAACTCTCAATATTTTTCAGAAATGTTTAAAATCTATTTTGAACTATTTTTTAAAAATGAACACTAATTTATAAATCGAACTAAAACTATTACAAATAATGGGGTGTTTCTTTCTATTTTAATGCCTAGCTAACACACTTGCAGATCTTCTAAAGATCACTTCCATGCTAGATGACAGTATAAGGAAATATAAATTGAACTGATCACTAGCTTAAAGTTTATTTTTACTCAGAAGCATTCAAGACAGTCTATTGTAGAAACAATAGAAATGCTCAGAAACAAAAAAGAAACTCAGAACAAAGCAAAAAATATTAGATAAAACTGGCACTACTTCTTGTCCCACGCTACCATCAACATTACATTGAAAACCACAAGAAGAGTCAAGAGTGTGTTGATTTCTCCTATAAAAGGGATTTTTAAATTCCTAAACTACAACATGAAGGAGCATGCTGGCTGTACATGTTAGAACTCACTGAAGAGCCTTCAGTTCCCATCTTCATCTTACCTCTTGCTGCAGCTGAACTTGGCTACCCCTGTCTTACAAACTCACATGAAATGACTGGGCTTTTTGCCAAAAACCCAAGAATGTTATTCCAGTGACCACATCCTGCGGTTCAAGCATAATAAATTCCAGAATGATTTCTCTCATCTGTAATCCCAAATTTCCATCCTGTCCACATACAAATTCTCCAAACCTTCTGAAGGCCTAAGTGCCAGTATGAGCAGGACAACTGCTGTGGTTAAAGCAAAGAACTCAAATCCATTTTCCAGCTTTTAGCCCTCCTATGGGTTTTCTGCTGGCTGGCTCAAAGTGTGTGGTATCCCCTTTTTCTCTCCCAAAGGAACTGACCTAATACCAATATCCACCCACAAAAGGTGCCAACAAAATAAAGGAATACTCACAAGACTTTTAGGAATACAGTAGTCCCAAGCTTATAAGACACAAATAACTCTGGACTATAGCAATTCATTACAGTAAACATCTCTGTTGGCACTTAAATATTTTGCTGGACTTTAATCTCATAATTCCAGAAACTGATATAATTCCTGGAGGAGAATGTCTGTTCAGCTGTGGCAGGAAGCACAATGCTGGGCTTTAAACATCCCATAAAATAATAATTAAGTTATTGTGTAATTGCATTATATTTTTAAAAATAAATATATAATTAAATAAGAATGCATGATGTTAAGGACAGCACAACATCCACCCTTCAGCTCCCACTGACAGACATGGTGGTTACAAATACAACACAGTCAATCAGTGCTGTAAATTCAGTTACACAAACAGGGGCTGGGGGGAATCTTTCATTTAACACCAGT